AATGGATCGGCCCAGGTACACAGGGTGAGAACACAGGGCAGGGCTAGGGGGTGGGCGGCGGGGAGGGGCTCCTCCACCTCCCTCCCCGGAAGTGGGCTGACCCAGGTGCGTTCCGGCCCCCAGGGTCGGAACCAAGTGACCAGCCTGCCGGGAGGGCGCCTGCAGACTAGGGATCCCGTCCGGCCCCCTTCTGCTCAGGTCATGCCGAGCGGGGTGTGAATCACCGAGAATCGAGACTCAACTGGGGTGATTCACCTGTTGAGGGAGGCGGGCGCCGCCGCGCACCTGTTCCCTCTCTGCCCACACCCCTCTCCCCACCTGGCGATGGACCCGCCTAGGTACACCCTGCGGGGAGGGACGAGTCTAAGCGTGCCTTGGGCTGGAAGAGGCTTGCTTTTAGCGCCTGATTTTTCCGGTAGACCTCTGGGTCCTCGCGTTCGGCTGGACTGAGGCGATGCGGTCCTCGCGCGCTTTACATTTAGGCGATATAAAGAACCAAGCGAAGTTTTCGGAAAGGAAGTGTGCCTCCTTAGGGATGCCCGAGGGGAGTGGGGCCCAGGAAAAGTTGTAATTCTACTTTGGAAGTTTTCTCCGCCTCCCCGCCCCCCACAATTCCTAACTTTTGGTTTGGCCCCCGGGCGTTCATCGCCCCAGGTCTGGCCTCCGGAAACTATGGCTCTTAAAGGGGCCGAGCGGAGGCGCAGGACTAGGGACGGTTTCCGCCTAAGGATTCGTAGGGAGCGGGGCCACCTGCGTCGAGGGCGGGGTGGGGCGAGGCCAGGCACCCGGAACGCGAGGCGCTCTACGCGGCTCTGCTGTCCTCCGATGGCGGCTAGGGGAAGTGCATCCTGGGGAACTCTAGGAGCTTCTGAGGAGTCTCCCCGGAGGTCGCAAACTGGTTACTGGCTGGCGGGTTACGTACCCAGGGATGTTTTGTTCGACCGCATCCTGTTAAAACCCAAGTTGGATCATGCCCCTCTGCTCAAAACCTTCCCGTGTCTCCCCCTCCCAGCAGAAATCAAAATACTGGGAAGTGGCCTGAGCCCTCTCTGACGTCACCACTCTCCCCCTGGCTTACTCAACTGGCCAACTCAGCGTTTGGGAATGTGCCGCTCACCCTCTCACTTCAGGCCTCCTGCGCTCACTACTTCTTCTGCGGGAACACCCGTCCGTCAGATGGCCACCTGATCCTCCCCTCCTTTAGGGCTTTACTTAAAGGTCATCTTTGCAGTGACACCTTCCCTGACCACTTTTTATAAAATTTCAACCAGGTCACATTCCCCCCCCCCCCCCCCCCCCCGGCCCCCCCCCCCCCCGCACACACACTTTTTTGTTGTGGTAAAGTATACATACCATAATAGTAATCATTTTAACCATTTGCAAGTATACAATTCAGCGGCAGTAATTACATTCACATGGTTGTGCACTCATCACCACTATCTAATCTTTTTCATCATCCCCAGTATAGACTCTACTTATTAAACAATAATTCCCCATTCCCACCTGCCCCCAGCACCTGGTAACCTCTTTTCTACTTTCTTTCTCTATCAAATTGCCTATTCTAGGTACCTCATTTAAGTGGAATCATATGACATTTGTCTTCTGTGTCTGGCTTATTTCACTACACATGTTTTCAAGGTCCATCCACATTGTAGCACATATAGCAATCAAAATTTCTGTCCTTTTTATGGCTGAAATAGTATTTCATTTTATGTATATACCACATTATGTGTATCCATTTATCTGTTAGATCCTTGAGTTGTTTCCACCTTTTAGTTATTGTAAATAACACTGCTGTGAACATTGGTGTACAGATACTTGTTTTCAATCCTTTTGGATATATACCCAGGAGAGGAATTACTAGGTCATATTGTAGTTCTAGTTTTAAACTTGAGGAATTGCCAAATTGTTTTCCATATCGATGCACCTTTTGTATTCCCACCAGCAATGCACAAGGGTTCACACCTCACCAACACTTGTTTTTTTCTGTTTTCTTGATTATAGCCATCCTAGTTGGTGTGAAGTGGCATCTCATCAGGGTTTTGATTTGCATTTCCCTAATGACTAATGATATTGAGCATCTTTTCATCTACTTCTTGGCCATTTGTGTATCTTCTTTGGAGAAATGTCTATTCAAACGTTTGCCCATTTTTGAATTGCGTTGTTTTGTTCTCTGCTGTTGAATTGTAGTTCTTTTTATATTCTGAATATTAATCCCTTGTCAGATATATAATTTGCAAATATTTTTTCCTGTCCTGTCGATTGTTTTTTCACTTTCTTGATAGTGTCCTTTGATTCACAAAAGTTCTTAATTTGATGAAGCTCAGTTTATCTATTTTTTCTTTTGTTGCCTGTGTTTTTGGTGTCATATCTATGAAAATGTTGCCATATCCAGGGTCATAAAGATTTTCTCCAGTGCTTTCTTCTAAGACCTTAATAGTTTTAGCTCTTAAGTTAGGTCTTTGATCAATTTTGAGTTATTTTTTGTATATGGTATAAGGTAAGGTCCAACTTAATTCTTTTGTATGTGGTTATCCAGTTTTTCCATCACCATCTGTTGAAAAGACTGTCCTTTACCCACTAATTGATCTTGACACCCTTGTCAAAAATCAATTGACTGTATATGTAAGGGTTTATTTCTGGGTTTTCTATTCTATTACATTGGTCTATATGTCTACCCTATGCCAGTACTATACTGTTTTAATTACTGTAGCTTTGTAGTAAATTTGAAGTTGGGAAGTGTGAGTCCTTCAACTTTATTCTTCTTTTTCAAGATTGTTTTGGCTGTGCAGGGCCCAGTGCAATTCTATATGAAAGATTTGCTTCCATTTCTTTGAAAAAGGCTGTTGGAAGTTTGGTAGGCACTGTGTTGAATCTGCAGATTGCTTGGGTGGTATTGACATCATAACAATTTCAAGTCTTTCTATTCATGAACACAGAATGTCTTTCCATTTATTTAGCTATTCTTTAATTTTTGTTAGCAATCTTTTGTAGCTTCAGCATACAAGTCTTTCACCTACTTGGTTAGATTTCTTCCTAAGTATTTAATTCTTTTGGATGTGATTGTAAAATGAAATTGTTCTCTTAATTTCCTCTTGGTATTGTTCAATGTTGGTGTATAGCAACACAATGGATTTTTCAGTGTTAATCTTGTACCCTGCAACTTTGCTAAGTTTGCTTATTAGTGGATTCTTTTTGATTTCCTATGTGTAGGATCATGTCATCTGAGATTAGGCATAGTTTTACCCCTTCCTTTCCAATTTGGGTGCCTTTTACTTCTTTTTCTTGTTTGATTGCTGTGGGTAGGACTTCCAGTACAAAGTTGAATAGCAGTGGTGAAAGTAGACATCTTTGTCTTTTTCGTGGAGGAGGAGAGCATTCAATCTTTAACCATTGAGAATGATGTTAGAAGTGGAGTTTGTTTTTTTTTTTTTTTATAATACCCTTTATCATGTTGAGGAATTTCCCCTCTATTCTTAGTTTCCAGGAGTTTTTGTCATGAAAGAGTGTTGGATTTTGTCAAATGCCTTTTCTGTATCAGTTGAGATGATCACATGATTTTCCCCCTTCATTCTATCAACATGATGTATTACATTGGTTGATTTCCTTACACTGAATCACCATTCATGCATAAATCTCCCTTGGTCATGACTTCTGCCATTTTGCTATTTGTTTTCTATATGCCTTATAGCTTTTTTGCCCCTCATTCTCCCCATTACTCCCTTGTTTTGTTTAGTTAATGTTTTTGTAGTGAAATATTTTGATTCCCTTCTCATTTCCTATTGCGTATATTTTATGGCTATTTCCTTTGTGGTTACCGTGGGGATTACATGAAGCTATAACACTTCAATATGAATTTATACCTGGTTAACATAATTTTTTAAATTATTTATTTATTTTTGGCTGCGTTGGGTCTTTGTTGCTGCTGCAGGCTTTCTGTAGTTGCGGTGAGTGGGGACCACTCTTCGTTGCGGTGCGCAGGCTTCTCATTGCAGTGGCTTCTCTTGTTGCCGAGCACAGGTTCTAGATACATGGACTTCAGTAGTTGTGGCACACAGACTCAGTAGTTGTGGCTTGTGGGCTCTAGAATGCAGGCTCAGTAGTTGTGGTGCATCGGCTTAGTTGCTCCATGGCATGTGGGATCTTCCCGGACCAGGGCTCAAACCTGTGTCACCTGCATTGACAGGCGGATTCTTAACCACTGTGCCACCAGGGAAGCCCTATACCTGATTAACTTTAATAGCATGTAAAAACGCTGCTCCTATACCTCTCCATCACCTCCTTTTTATTATTGAGGTCAGAAATTACACCTTTATACATTGTTTTCCCAGTAACAAAGGTTAATAATTATTTTTATGTCTTTTCTTTTAAGTCATGTAGAAAATTAAAATTGAATTTTAGTACAATAATACTAGCTTTTATAATTGCCCATGTATTTATCTTTACTGGAGATTTTTATTTCTTCATACAGTTTCAAGTTACTGTGCAGCATCCTTTCATTTCAACCTAAAGGACTCTCTTTTGCATTTCTTGCAGGGTAGGTCTAATGGTAACAAACTCCCTAAGCTTTTGCTTATTTGGATGTGTTTTCATTTCTCCCTCATTGCTGAAGGGCAATTTTGCCAGTTATGGAATTCCTGGTTGAAAATTTTTTTCTTTTAGCACTTTGAATAATTCAACCCATTGCCTTCTGGCTTCCAAGTTTTCTGATGAGAAATCAGCTGATACTCTTAATGAGGATCCCTTTATGTGACAGGTCGCCTCTATCTTGCTGCTTTCAAAATTGTCTTTTTTTTTTTTTTTTTTTGGCGGTACGCGGGACTCTCACTGTTGTGGCCTCTCCCGTTGTGGAGCACAGGCTCCGGACGTGCAGGCTCAGCAGCCATGGCTCACGGGCCTAGCCACTCTGCAGCATGTGGGATCTTCCCGGACCGGAGCATGAACCTGCGTCCCCTGCATCGGCAGGCGGACTCTCAACCACTGCGCCACCAGGGAAGCCCCAAGATTGTCTTTTTGTCTTTGGCTTTCAGCAGTTTCATTATAATGTGTCTTGGTGTGGATCTTTTTGTGTTTATCCTATTGGAGTTTGGTAAGCTTCTTGGATTTGTAGATTTGTGTCTTTCATCAAATTTGGGAGGTTTTCAGCCATTATTTCTTCAAATGTAGTTCTTTCTGTGGCTTTCTCTCTCTCATCACCCTCTGGGACTCTCACAATATGTATGTGGTTCCACTTTATGGTGTTCCACAGGTCCCTTAGGTTCTGCTCACTTTTTCTCAACCTTTTTACTTTCTGCTCCTCAGACTCAGTAATTTCAATTGTCCTGCGTTCATGTTCATTGATTGTGTCTTCTGCCTGTTCACATCTGCTTTTGAACTCCTGTAGTGAATTTTTTCATTTTAGTAATTGTATTTTTCAGCTCCAGAATATCTTGTTGGTTTCTTTTTATATTTTTTACCTCTTTATTGATATTCTTATTTTGTTCATACATCATTTTGCTGTATTTTTCCATGTCTTTGTTAGCTTTTTGAGCATTTTATGACAGTTTACATCTTTGTCTAGTGTGTCGGCCGCGTGGGCTTCCTCAGGGATGTTTGTTTGTTCTCCTTTGAATGGGTTACTTTCCTGTTTCTTTATGTCTTGTGATTTTCTGTTGAAAATGGACATTTAAATCATATAAGTGGTAACTCTAGAAATCATATTTTCCCCCTTCCCAGGGTGTGTTGGGGGTTGTTATTGTTGTAGACTATGTCTGTGCTGGGGATCAGCTTGAGGTGAAAGCTTAAGGTCATCTCAGATCTTTTCTGAGCTCACATCTTTCTCTGGGTTTGTGCAATGACTTTCTAAATCCCCTCATATTGTGTGTGTATCAGTTGTTTTTGAAAGTCCTAATCCCTAAATGTCTGGCTCCCAATAGGGGGGAAAGGGGAGAAAACCCAACTGTCCCTTTAAATCTCTGGGAAGCCACTTTAGCCAGTGGGTGTTGAAAAAATGATGACCTGCCTCTGTGTCTGTACATCTCTGATCAGAAGCCGTAATCTGCAATCAGAACACAGAACCCTGATATTTGGAGGACAAGGTCCTTATTGCCCATCCCACAATAATAACACCACCTGAGCACTTTATATACAACATCTCAACAAATCCTCATAAGAGCGCTGTGCAGCCAGTACCATTGAAATCCCTATTTTGAAAATGAGGAAACTGAGGTTCACAGAGAGAAAGCCATTAGACCAGACCTTCAATTCAGGAAGAGGCTTTCAGTTCCATAAAATATGTGAGAAAGAAAAACAACCCTTGGTATCTGGGAGCTGACCTGACACAAATAACGGGGTATTGGTATTTCTAGGAGCCAGCCTAGAGTTCACAGCTAGGTCACTGAACATAAACAATTTCATAGAACGCCAACATCACACAAAGTCTCTCTGTGACTGTGATGAACCAAGACAAAAACAAGACCACTCCATAATCACGTCTGAACACAGACAAACAGAAACACTGTCCAAGCCACAAAAGACTAAACATCTCCCTCTCCCATTCTTCTCACCTTCCAGATAAGATAGAATTACTCTCACTTCCTGACAGCACCCCATTCAGAGAAAATCTCCACTTCCTTGAACTCATCCCCAAATCACATAAGACAAGCCCAAATTCTGTAAATCTGTTCTCACACTTTCTTACTGAAATGTTGTACCATTCTTATGGTGTGTACCTTCCCTCACTGCAGTTAGTCAACAAATCCAACTTTGTTGAACCACAAGTGTGTTCCTAGTCTTTGGCTGAAGTGCACTGGCACCTGCCAAGTGTGTACCCATCTCAAGGCCTTTGCATGTGCTGTGTGCTTAGTCCAGACTTTGCTTCCTCTGGCTCATCTTACGTAGTCTGCTCAAATGTCACTTTTTTTAGAGAGCCCTTCTCTCTCCATCCCATTTAAAATAGTCACTGTATTAGTTTGCTAGGGCTGCCATAATAAATGCAGCCATAACAAATGACTGGATGACTTAAACAACGGAAATTTGTTTCTTCACAGTTCTGGAGGCTGGAAGTCCAAGATCAAGGTGTTGGCAGGGTTAATGGCCTGCAAACAAAAGTAATGTAGATCCCTCCCAGGTCAAAGCATTTGACTATCCTTCCTTATTCCATAGCAGCTAATGATGCTGCAGGTGGTGCAGCCTCCACTGGCCATGGTATTTGAAGGGACTATGTAGAGCAGAGCTCTCCACCAACCCACAGTAGACATGTAAGATGAGAAAAAAAAATGTGTTAAGACACTGAGATCCCAGAATTCTTTTGTTACACAGCATAACCTAACTTATCCCAGTTAATACATCCCCCACTAGAGTGGAAGCTCCAAGAGGGCAGGGACTTAGCCTGGATCCTTAGTGCCTGTTGAAAGATGAGTAAACAATACTTATTTATGGAATAATTGGATATGCCAGGCACAAGGTGAAGTTGCTGGGCATGGATTATTCTAATAAAAGGTGGATCTAGAAATGAAACTGATCCCAGAACCTGGGACTGAAGCCACTTGGCCACATTCCCACTAACTAACCACTGTGTTAATCCAAACCTGGACCGTTCCAAGAATTTGACATCAGTAATCTCTTGAAAGCTTAATAACACCATAGTTTGTGATGGAAAGTTCTAGTATCCCATTTTACAGATGGGGAAGTGAGGTTTAACAAGTCTCAGCAACTTGCCTAAAGGTCGTGTAGCTCACATAGTGCTTACCACAGTCCTGGTACAACTGATATTTCCTAACCATGGATGCTGTGACAAACATGGTTGGTTATACCAAATAAGCATCCTCTTCTACATCTCTCCTGCATACAAAGCCCTGATTTTTTTTGGAGTCTTCAATGACTTCTATGGTCAGAGAAGGTTATACTTCCCCAGTCCCGGAGAACAAATTCTGATTGGCTTAAGCCAATCATGGAAATTTTCTTTACTTTCAGAGATTGATTTTGATCTGAACATGGGACCTAATTCCGGCCAATGGAACTTTAGGAGAGATCTGATGGGAGGATTTGGGGAATGGTTTTAACTTTATGATATAAAAGAATACTGCTTGTAGGAGACATTAGCTGCAGTAATTATTACTGACTGCCATTTTCTAAATGTTTCCTGGACATATTAGAATTCCATTTCCTTTGTTGGGTTGGTGAACTGCTAGTGCCATGTAACCATTTCTGGCCAATGGTTTGTGAGCAAACGACATGTGTCATTTAAGGCCAGAGCATTTAATTACAGACATGAAATCCTACAGAGCTTTCCTCCTCCTTTGGCATAAAACTGGAAATGTTTGGGATGGCAGTTGCTCAGTCATCCTGTATCCCTGAGTGATTGTAATGCCAACCCACAAGGGACATGGAGCATGAATGGGAAGTAAACTTGTGTTATTGTAAGTCATTGAGATTTGGATGAAGTTTATTGTAATAGCAAATAGCCTACCTTGAGTGATACAGAAATTAGTATCAGGAGTGGGGTGCTGCTGTAATAAAAAAAAAAAACAACAACACATGGCATTGGCTTAGATACAGAGCAAAGGGAAAAAGAAAATTATTTGAAGCCAGAAGGATGGAGATTATTGCCTGAAATACTTTGGGAGGCAGATAACATACTTAACGAACTTGCAGCTTTAGGGAAAGCAGTTGGAACACAGGACACTAGGAGTGAATATTGGCCAAAGATGGCCCCAAATCAGGAAGACCTTTGAGAGTCAAAGTCCAGTTAGAACTCAGATTTTGTCAAGGATAAAATCAAGGATTAGCACCAATCAAATCATTATTAACCATTGTTAAGATCTCTGAATAAATTAAGGTACTCCCAGGAAACACTTAAGATAGTCTGAGGTAGACAAAATGGCTTAGAATATGGCTTTCCATGGATGCCTGATAGATTCTAAGGTACCTGCAATGAGAGAGAGGGAGAGCGAGGGGGAGAGAGAAATGAGGAACATCTTGAACAGAACTGTGGATGTGGGGAGTTTGTACATGGAGTTAACTGGAGACTTATAAGAATCCTTAGGTCCCACACTTTAGGAGACAGAAAGCAGGCTGAGAAAACTGCTCATGTGCCAAGGAGGGCACATCTTCCAATGTCACCTGAGATGTAGCCAAGGAAGATAATGGAAAAGGGGGTAAGTCCCTGAAGAGTGAAGACATAAGCTACAGCGAGCAAAGATTTGGGAAGCTCCCCACCCTTAAGGAGTTGATTTGGTACTAATTAAGGAACCCTCCCCATCCATAAGATAGGAAGTCCTTACAGTATCTTTTCACTAGATTTTAGAAATTATACAGACCAGTGATTTCTGTGTGTCTTGCCTTATTCGCCTTTCCAATTGGGCATTTTGACCCATTCCATCATTGTATATTGGGTATGTGGAGGGCAAATAATTTGACTTTTTAGTTCGCTCGTTCTGACATAGGTTCACTCATTGTGTTTCCTGCCCATCTCTTGCGGACATTTGAGTCTTTGACTCTACAGCCTACACCAAGCTATTTGATGACATGAACTGAATTGGACCCCCGGAAGTGCAGTGGATCAAGGTCCATTCCACTGCCCAGGGCTGATGCCGAGTTCTGTGGGTGACTTCACAATGCCCCAATGGTTCCCAGCCTCCTTCTGTAGTCTGTAGGTGGCCATGTTGGCCACCTTGTGGCTGCTTAGCCTTTCTCTCCCCACTTCGTGGGCCCAGATGTCAGTCAGCTGTGCCTACAAGAGTCTCTGCCAGCAGGCCCTACTCTCAGGCAATGATGTTGTCCTGCAGTGTGACCATCTCAAGGCACGCTGGTACTTCTCTTCCATTCTGGGGGAGGATCTCTTGTTGCTCTCCTCAGTGCCTAACATAAAGAAACTGCCTGGGGGCAGCCTCCAATTGACCAACCCTCAGCCCTCCCAGACAGGCCTCTATCACTGTGAGGACAATGACAGTGCCCTCGTGGTAGAGTATGAGATTGATTTCCAAGATGTCACTACCCTGCACATTACGCACAAAGGCCTGGGCCAAAAGCCCCTGCAGAATGAGACCCTGAGTCTGGGTGGCAAGGAGCTCATCTTCACCCACTGGGATCCCAGGCAGGACTGTAACCGCTGTGGGGAGCCAGGTGAGCACAAACGCCTGGGGTACTGCTACATCGAGGAGCCCCTGGAAAAACCCATGCCCTGTTGGCTCTATCTGCAAGAGAGAAGGTGCAGTACAGACGCATGTGGCCTGAGATGCAGGTGGAAGCTGACCTGTGGGTATCACCAGTCCCAGCTCTTCCCAAAAATGTTATACACGGTTTAGCAGGGTGCAAGTGTCAGACGTAAAATATTAATGCCTTGTAAAATTCATGGCCCTGCTATTCCATTGTGAAGCAACAACAAGGCAGATCTGAAACTTCCAGAACTTCTGCCCCCGAGGAGAGGGAAGCGCTCACCCCTCACATCCCAGACACCATCGCCAAAACACCTAAGGCTTCATGTGGTGCCCAGAGATGCAAAGATTCCTGCAGAAAGGGGAAATGTTCATGGAGAACTAAAGGGGGTCCATTGGGAAGCAGAAGCAGAGAATAATGACAATAATAGCAAACATTTGGGGATCTCCTAGCCTGGTCAGAACGCACACCCTTTGCAAACGTTATGTCCTCAGAGCCACCCACGAGGCTGGGGTTACTATGAACTTCTTTTTGTAGCTGAGAACACCAAGGCACAGAGGGCTCAAGCAAGCTGCCCGAGGTCACATAGTGAAGTTGGGAAAGGGCCAGCAATGGAAGAGTGAAAGGAGACCTCTGGGCGGCCCCCAGCCCTGCTCCCAGGAAACCCCCAGGGCCCTGTAACCGCAGCAGCCCATCGGGTAGCAGCTGGAAGTGGATCCAATGCCCAGGCCTGTCTGCACAGCACTGAAGGCCGCCCAACCCACACCAAGGCTGTCAGTGCCCTACTGTGCAGGGCAGACCCTAAGGTGACCCCAGTGATTCCCAGCTCCTGGTGTCCGTGCCTCTGTGTGACTACCCACGCCTTCAGTGTAGATGGTACCTGTGACTTGCTTCTAACCAGTGGAATATTATGAAGGTGTTGGGTGTCGCTCCTCCTATTGGGTTACGTTACCTAAGACTCTGTCTCAGCCCGCTAGAGCAGGAGAGACTTGCTGGCCCGATGAAGTAGGCAGCTGTGTCGAGGAAACCCGCTTGGCAGGGAGCTGTGGGCAGCCTCCGGGAGATGCAAGTGTTCGCCCTTTGAGGGTGACAGCCTCTGTCACACAGTCGCAAGGGAATGAATTCTGCCGACAGCTCGAATGAGTTTGGAAGCAGATTCTTCTCCAGTTGAGCCTCCGGATGAGAACATGGCCTGACCGACACCTGGACTGCAGCCTTGTAAACCCTGGGTAGAGGACTCGGCCAAGCCACGTCTGGACTCCTGACCCACAGAAACCAGGGGATTGTGAATGTGTGCTGTTTAAGCTACTAAACGTATGACAATTTTTTATGCAGTGAGAGGCAACTGGTAACACCCAGCCATATGCCCCAGTCCACCATGAAGTCCCCTGAAGTTCAGCTGTCACACGGATGGCTCCTGGAGGCACCAGTGACTTCCTAACTCCCCTGAGAAGCCTGCTGAGCCAGGTGTGGCGCAGGCTGGTAGCCAGGCCGTCAGGGCTCCCAGGAGAAATCCATATTCATGAAGGGTGGGAGTGGGAGGGTAGGCATCCAGCTTCCCCAGCCCTTGACGGTACGACTCAGAGGCACATTCCGCACCTTCTCTAGGAGGGTCCCCAGTGATCCCAGTGTGCACAGCTACAACCAGCTCACTAGGGCACCTTTTATCAGCTTATCCCCTGCCCCGCCTCACTGTCTCTTACCTCTGCTTCCCGAGAAAATATTCTTCAAATATTTTTTCAGCCCCACGTTCCCTCCCCTCTCCTGGGACTCCAAAGACATGAATTTAGAGCTGCTGTTGTCTCACAGGTCCCTGAGACTTGGTTAATTTTCCTCCAATCTTTTCTGCTGTTCAGGTTGGAGAATATTTACTGATCTGTCTTCAAGTTCACAGGCTTCTTCCTCTGTCATAGCCATTCTGCTGTTCAGTCCATCCAGCGAGCCTTTTACTTTGGTTATTGTATATTTTAGTCCTAACATTTCCATCTGGTTGTTCTTTATAGGATCTTCTATCTCCTCATTGATGTGTTCTATTTTCATATTTGCTTTTAGGGAATCCTTAACTGAGACACCAACGTTGCTAACTCAGTGGCCCCCATGAGCCACGCAGGGAACATAAGTCCAGGAAAAGGCCTTGGGAGGCTGCTGCGATGTAAGGGATCTTACCCCAGATTGACGGGCCTGGTACTTCTGAAAGTTCCGTGTGATTCTAGAGATCGAGATGTTTGAGTGAAACTATCCAATTTAGGAATGTTGGCTCAAAACTGTTTTCAAACACAGTGCCAGCCAAATGAGACATATCTGCAGGCTGAATTCAGCCCATGGCTGTTAGTTTGTGAGGTCTTGCTTCAACCTTGATTGGGGTCAAGTGTATATTTCCATTTTTGATTATTCATTCAACAACTATTTGCTAGCTGGAGTAGCCAAGGACAGCTTCTCTGAAGAGATGACATTTCAGATGAGCCCGAATAACAAAAAACTGGGCAAGTAGGGATCTGGAGGAAGGGTGTATTAGTGTCCTATAGCTGCTGTAATGAATTACCACAGACTTAACGGCTTAAAACAACACACATTTATAATCTTACAGTTCTGAAGGTCAGTAGTCCAAAATGGGTCTTATTTGGCTAAAATCAAGGTGTCAGCAACTGGATTCCTCCAGAGGCTTGAAGCAGAGAATCCTTTTGCTTAAAGCCAGCAACACTGTATTTTCAGATGTCTCTCTCTCTCTCTCTCTCTGACTCTCCTGCTTCCCTCTTGGAAGGACCCTTGTGATTATATTGGGCCCACCCAAAAATCCAAATTAATCTCCCCATCTCGAGATCCTTACCTTAGTCACACCTGCAAAGTCCCTCCCACCATGTCAGGCGACACATTCACAGGTTCTGGGGATCAGGAGTGACCCTCTTTGGGGGGCCACTATCTAGCCTACCATAAGCAATTCCAGGCAGAGGTAGCATTTATAAGGGCTCTAGGTGGGTGTCTGCAGTGGATGGAGGACTACCAAGGAGATAGCCAGGGGCCAGATCGTGTAGGGCCCTGTGGACCAAGGTGAGGGCTTTGGACTTTATTTGAAGTGAGATGGGAGCCATGGGAGGCTTTTGAGCAGTGGAGGGACATGATCTAACATTCGTTGAAAAAGGTAATTCTGACAAGGTAGAGCTCCTTGCAGGTAGGGGTGGGGGCAGCCCACAGGTTGGAGCAGGGAGTAGCAGCCACTCTCCGTGTAGCCAACTGGCCAATGAGAAGCTTTCATCACCTAGCAGGAGAAATGCCACCTCTTCCCCACACCTCCAAGTGCAGTGTAAGACACGACATGCCCCGTATTCCATCTTTAGCCATCTTCTTCTACCTTTTCCTTTCCATATTATAATTTTGAAAAGACAATTTTTAGAGCAGTTTTAGGTTCACAGCAAAACTGAGGGGAAAGTACAGAGATTTCCCATATACCCCTGCCCCACACATGCATGGCCTCCCCCATTATCAGCATCTCCCACCAGAGGGGTCCATGTTACAAATGATGAACCTACGTTGACACATCATAATCACCCAAAATCCATAGTTTACATAACGGTTCAATGTTCTGGATTTTGGCCGTTTTGATAGGCGTGTAGTGGTAGCTCTATTTTTCACGGGAGGAAACCAAGGGCCAGAGAGGTGAATTCACTTGCCCACGGATACAAAGTTCGTGTATCAGTTACAGCTGCAAAACAAAACATACCCCAAATCAGAGATTGAAAATAGTAAGCATTCATTATTGCTTACAAGTCTACAAACCAACTGGGTAGTACTTCTGGTCTCAGATGGGATCGATCGTTCGTGCTTCTCTGATCATCAGTGGGCTGGGGTTGGCTCTGCTGATCTTTGTTGAGCTTTCTCACATGTTTGGGAGGTGGCTGTCTGTAGGCTGGACCAGGTGCCATTAGCTGGGGAAACTGGACTGTCCTCCACGTGGTCTCTCATTCTCCAGCAGGCCAACCCAGGCTTGTCTACAAGGTGGTGGCAGGGGTCCAAGAAAGTGAATAGAAGCCACAGGGCCTCTTGAGGTCCAGGCTCAGAACTAGCACATGACCAGGGACTGGTACAGGGTGGCCTTGGCTTGCCATGTGACCTGAAGGTCAGGTTTGGGGGAGGCCCCTGGGCAAGATATCAGTTATCTACTGCTACGTAAGAAACCACCCAAAACTCAGTAGCTTAATACAACAATTATTTATTTCTCTCTTCAGTCTGTAGGTTGGTAGTATAGGCTGGGCTCAGCTGGGTAGTTCTTCGGGTCTTGGCTGGACTCATTCATGCATCTGTGGTCAGCTCTGGGTCGGTAGATGGCTCTGCTTCAGGGGGGATAAATGGCATTTGGTTGGGGAACCTCCAGTCTCTTATCTTCCAGCAGGTTAGCCCGGACATGTTCATAAGGTCATGGCAAGAGTCCAAGAGAGCAAGCGGGAGCTGGAAGGCTTTTTGAAGCCTAACCTTAGAACTAACACAGCATTACTTTCACCATGTTCTATTGGCCAAAACAAGTTACAAGGTCAGGCCAGATTCAAGGGGTGGGGGAATAGACTACATCTCCTGATGGGAAGAGTGACAAAGTCACATTGTAAGTATGTATATATAAAGGAGTGAAGTATTACGACCATTATGTAATCACTTTACCAAGGGCAGTAAGTAACACAGCTGGGATTCTAACCCAGGATGACTGCTTCCACATAGCCTTCTCTTCTCAAGGTGTATCACTTCTGTCCTTTCTTTAGCTTCTCCACCTCCTCTAATATCTTCCCTATCTGTTATTTGAGCCCTTCAATAGCTTTCTGTATTAGAACACATTTAACTGCAAGTAACAGAAATCCAAGCAGAGTGGTTTAAGCTAAGAAGGAACTTATTGGTTCTTGGAATAAGAAGTCTAGCAGGTAGGTCCTGCTTCAGGCACGGTTAGATCCAGGTGCTCCAAAGACATACTCCAATATTATCTTCCTTCATCTCTCTATTCCAACTTTTTCTGTGCTGCCTTAATCCTCAAGCAATGCTTCCAAAGAATAGATGAGGGCCACTCCAGAATCACATCACAGCAGCTTAGCAACCTCGATGGAAAGAGAGCAGACCTCCTGTAACAATAGCAACAATGGAGCACTTGCTGTGTGCCAGGTGCTGTTCTAAGCACTTAGCAAGTATTAACTTATCACTCCTCACAACACCCTATTAGGCATAATCATCATCCCCATTTTACTGATGAAGGAACTGAGGCACAGAGAGGTTAAGATCCATGTCTAAGGATACATAGGTAATAAGTGGTGGGGCTGAGAGCTGAACCCAACCAGGTTGGCTCCAGAGTTTTTGCTCTTAACTACTTACCTAGTCTGGTGGGAAAGTAGTAATAACAGCAAACGCTATTCAAGCAGATACTCTGACACTGTCTGGAACATCAGAATATAATAATAATAATAATATCCATGTAATCCTTCCAGCAACCGTATGGGGTAGGCACTGTTATTATTTCCATTTTACAGATGGGGAAATTGAGGCACTAAGAAGATAGAGAACCCTAAGGTCACATGTGGGGCAACTGAAACTTGAATCCAGAGAGTAGGATCCAGAATCTGTATCTGCTGCCTTTAGGTCCCACTCCTGAGCCAGGGGTGAGGCCAGCCTCTGAGAACTTGATGTAGCGAGATGGAGGGAGGCCCCAGGACAGCCCAGCGCTCACCAGCTGGGTCTGCCCCTCCCTCCTCTCCCCTCCACCCGCCGCGTGGCACAGCCTTCCCAGAACCCACGTGTGAACAGACTGACCTAATGCAGGCTGGGCCAGAGGGCTGAGTCCGGACAAACAGGCAGTGGCCAAGAGAGGCCGTGTGAGGCAGTCCCGAGGTGGGCGTGGGGTGGGAGGGACAACACCTGGTGTCACGGGGCAGCTGGGGGCTGGAGCCCACGACTTTGACACCCGTTAGACCTCTGCAAAACAACCCTTGCCCACCGACTGCCCTGACAGGGAGGCTGGCCAAGATGCCAAGTC